CGAGAAACTATTTGTTCTGTAAGCCTTCACCTGAAGTACAAAACAATAAAATAAAAAAAATGGAGAATTTTCCCTCTTTTTCTGTTCCTTAGAGGAGATTGTATGGTTTTGAAATTATTCCCTCCTTGAAGGTTTGGAAGAACGGACAGAAGATGTCGTTTGGATGTGGAGATTGTACTATGGGAACAACTTTGATTAATGATCTAATTGTTTAGTGGTTACCAGAAGGAATGATAATCAAAATATTTAACAGCTAATATACAAAAACTTTTATAAATCAATCAATCAATAATATAAAATAGTTTCTTCTACAAAATTTAACTGAGATTGCATTGAATCTATTGGCCACTTCCAGAAGAATTGATATTGTAACAATATTAAGTCTTCTAACTTACGAACATGATTCTCTCTCAATTTATTTAAATCACAATCATCACTTTCTCTAAGCAGTATTTGGGAGTTTTCAGCACATAAATTTTGCACAACTTTCATCAAATTTATCACTAAATATTTCAAAAATTTTAACAATATTTTAAATGATATTTTACATTTCAATTTCTAACTTTATTGTTAGTATTTGAAAATAGAATATTTTGTATATTGATTTTGTATCTTGTAACCTTGCTAAACTTTTTTTATTAGTCCCAGAATTGATTTTTGTGTGTTGATCTTGTATTGATCTCATAACCTTGCTAAACACGCTTATTAGTCCTAGAAGAATTTTGTATATTCTTCAGGATTCTCTATGTAGACAATCATGTTGTCTACAAATTAAGAGTTTTATTTCTTCCTTTCCAATCTAGATACCTGTTATTTCTGTTTCTTTCCTGATTGCACTGGCAATCACTCCATTGCAATGTTAAATAAAAGTGATGAGAACAGAAATCATTGTCTTGTTCCTGATCCTAGGGGAAAAGTTTTCAGCCTTTCCTCACTAAGGATGGTATTACCTGTAGGTTTTTCATAGGTGTCTTTTACCAAGTTGAGGAGAATTGCTGAGAGTTGTTATCAGGAATAAATGTTTGATTTCCTCAATTTTTTTTTCTGCATCTGCTAAGATTATGATTATTATTTTTTTTACTTTTTAGTTTGTTAATATGGTAAACACAATGATTTAGTTTGGAACGTTGAACCAGCTTTGCATTCCTGGGCTAAATTCCACTTGATCATAGTATATTCTCCTTTTGATCTTTTTTGATTGAATTTACTAAAATTTTGTTTCGAAATATTGCATCTATGTCCACAACAGATACTGACCTGTAACTCTCTTTTCTTGCACAGATTTTGTCTGGTTTAATATCAACATTACACTGACATCATAGAATGAGTTAGAAAGTATCCCCTCAAATTTTTGAAAGAAATTGTGTAAAATTATTATTATTATTTGTATTTAAATAGTTGGTAGAATTTACCAGTGAATCCAAATGAGTATTGACTATTCTTGGTGGGAAAGTTTTTAACTACAGTTTCAATTCTTTGAATTGCTGTCAATGGAATAAACCGGGACAAATGTTGGGCTCACCCCCACATTTGTTTCCCACCTCTCAGTAACCACTGTCCTTCACTGCCTAATGTCCTATGTGTTGATACCTGTTAGAGACAGGAAAGAAGGATGGGAGGGAAGGGAGAAAGGAAAGAGAGTATGAGACTTAAGAGAGACAGACAGAGAGACTGCCTTTTGTTGTTGTTGATTAGGCAAGTGACAAACATGGTTCCTATTCCTTTATCTTGGCCAAAATAAGAAATTTGGTCGTACGTCTTTTATTTTTCAAGTCAAATTAAACTTTTCTTTAGTCTGAGTTGTAGAAAGGCTGGTACTTTCCTTTGCCTACCTTCTAGTTTTTTGTTCATTTGTGTGTGTATTGGTTTTTTTTACTGATTAACTTAACCTGGGACTTCCACAGATATGATCAATATCACAAGCCCATTGCTTATCACTGTAACACAGTTACTGATGGCACTTAAGCCTAAAGTTCACATAGATAAAATTGGTCTACCGTTTGCAGGTCCTTGCAAAGGCTGCAAGATGTTCAAGGAAGGAAGTTCTATATTTTTGTAGCTTATTTTGAAAAATAGTCTCATCCTCTGTCTTAGTTTCCAAGGGCTTCTGTAACAAAATACAGGGAGTCCCTGGATTACAAACATATTTTATTCCTAAATCTATCTTTAAGTCAAATTTACATGTAAATCGGAACAGTCAGGTATGATTCATATCTAACGTCGGTTAGTCAAATGTTTGTCTTTGTATATAGTGTACCTTTATATGCATAAAAACATTAAAGAAACACTTCCAGATGCATGAAAACATCTTTAACATAATAATACAGTTGAGAATCTTAAAAAAAAAAGAACTCTTCCCACTCTCATCTCATTCATAAAACCAGAACCAAACCCACTGAGTTGATTCTGACTCATAGCGACCCCATAGGACAGAGTAGTACTGCCCTATAGGGTTTCCAAGGAGCAGCTGGTGGATTTGAACTGCAAACCTTTTGATGAGCAGCTGTAGCTCTTACCCACTGTACCACCAGGGCCCCCATCTCATTCAGAGATGTTTTTAAAGCTTTCAGATTAATTAACAGTGAGATGTGACCCAGGAATCAGTATTGAAAACAGAGCAAAACAAAACCTCCCCAGGTGGCTGAGGTATTGGGGAAGTTTGGCAAGTACTGACCTAATTGATCTCAAGGGCTCTTTTCATTTTTCAAAAAGATCACACATTCATATACATTTTCTAATTTTACTTTCCTGGTTATAACAGTAACTCTATGGCTAGATCAGAAGGAACTTATGGCAGATAACGTGTAGATGGAATTCTCAGTTTTGTCTTTTCACAATATAAAGAGTTAAGGCATTTCTCAAGGTTCAAACTGAATGTCCAGGCTAGAATTTTCTTTTGGTTCTGATAAGTAATAACGAAGTAAATGAGATTTAGAAGTAAATATGTCTACTTGTTGAGTGTACTCAGATACTTAAATATATTGAATATATATTGTAAAGCATTTTTATAATAAGCTATTCTTTCTTCAAAAATTTCTTTAAAGCAAAATCAGCTTTCTTAGTTCTACAATGAGGCTTCTTTTGAAATCTGCTGGATCTCAAATAAGGTACTTGTTTTTAAAAAATAACTTTTTCTGAAGATAATTTTCTTAGTTTAGCAAAAATTCTTTTTTTTCCATGTTCAGTCTCTCATATAGCTATTATTTATTATTTTTATTTCCCAGGAGCTACATATTTTATTTAATTTACATACATCATTGACTTTAAGCCTTACAACAACAATGTTATACAGTAGATGTTTCTAGGCCATATTTTGCCAATGAGAAAGCAGGGACTCATGGTAGTTTTACCTAAGATTACTCAGTGAGGGATGAAGCTTGGATTTAAAATCCAGATTTATGTGAATTCAGACACCATGCTTTTGACCAATAAAACATTTTGGCTTTATAAAAGAAATAGTAACAGAGGCGAACTCACTTTCACTTCTTCTGACTCTACTGCAATTTTATGAAAATTTCAAAGAAAATATGTAACTCCAAGTATGATGTCAAGCTCCCTCCGAGGAAGAAATATTTTTTGTTAGTTCCAAAATTAAATATAGTAATAATAACTTGTTGCCATCGAGTCTATTCCGACTCATAGCGACCCTGTAGGACAGGGTAGAACTGTCGTATAGGGTTTCCAAGGAGCAGCTGGTGAATTCAAACTGCCGATCTTTTTCGGTTAGCAGCTGTAACTCTTAACCACTGCGCCACCAGGGCTCCACAAATATAGTAATAGAACCACAGAATTATACATACAAAGTTACTTTTTTCCCACTTGTATTTAATTTTTCAGATATCTTAAAAATTATTAATATTTTATCAGTGTGTTTCTTTGGTATTTGTAATTAAACTTTCATAGTAATAAAAAAAGAGCAAAAAGCAGAACATAGGCAGCACAGGTTTTTTGTTTTTGTTTTTCCCCCAATTGATTTGCAGTAATGGTTTCTGTTTGATTAACAACTTACACAGGAAAAATACTTTTTGTTCTGGAAAGTCATCTTGTACTTCAACCACAGTTGTCTTGTATAAGCAAAAATAATTCATATATCTGAGATGTTATCCCTTTGATAGTAAAAGGAAAAGATGCACTGAAATTTGGCTGCCAAATTAGAAACTGCTAGCAAACAGTTAGTAGTGGATGAAGCAGGAGGTAGAGGTAGAAAAGTGTATGAGTAAAGAGCATAGGAGGAAAGAATTTGATTTATCCCTTTGGATGACTTTCTCCACGATTGGTGGTCCATTTTACCTTAAGAAACAACAATCTCATTTTCCTAGTGTTTTTTATATAAAAGAATGTATCTTGTGGTGGGGAAAGGAACTGACTTTGTTTCCACCGAATTCTCTATTCTTAAAGCAGAAAAAAGAAGCCCTCCTGGCGCAATGGCTAAGCACTTTGCTGCTAACTGAAAGGTCAGTGGTTAGAACCCACCAGCTGCTCTACAGGAGAAAAAGCCCTGGCTATCTGCTCACGTAAAGATTACAGCCTAGAAAGCTCTATGGGACAGTTCTACTCTGTCACATGAGGTTGCTCTGAATCTAAATTTATTCGACGACATCTAACAAAAACATATGGCAGAAGAGGACTTTGAGGCATTGAAAGAGTAGGTAGGATCTTTTAGTTCTAAAGAGGCAAAATTTGGTTACTGTCCATCTGATTGTGAAGCTGTTAGGATATGGCATAAAATTACCGATAATTTTCATTGTCAGAGACCCGCCCTGCCCATCCATTTCTCCTATATCGTACTGAGCTGTAGGATAAAAAACCTAAACAGCTACATTGTTATTGTACGTTGGTGTTATCAAATGTAAAACTATGCTGTCAGACGTGTTGCCAGGAAAATCTCCTCTGCCAGTAACATTTTTTTTCTCCCTGGGAACTTCAGGAGTCAACAGGTGACAACTTCTCCACAGGCTTCATGATCGATCATTCACTCATTTTTCAGATAGATCTCAGCTATGAAGAGTCAGCTGAATAAGAATTATTCAGAGTTGACAGAGTTTATTCTTCTGGGATTCAAAACATCTCCAGAACTACAGATCCTCTTATTCCTAGTGTTCTTGCTAATCTACCCGGTCATTGTAGTGGGAAATATCAGCATGATAGTTGTCATTAAGGTGGATTCCAGACTTCACATGCCTATGTATTTCTTTCTCAGAAATTTGTCCTATTTAGACCTTTGCTACTCCACAGTCATTGCTCCCAAAACTCTAGCCAATTTCTTGTCCACGGATAAGAAAATTTCTTACAAAGGATGTGCAACACAGTTCTTTTTCTTTGCTCTGTTTGCTGGGACTGAGAACTTTCTTCTGGCTGTGATGGCATATGATCGCTTCTCAGCCATTTGTTCGCCCTTCCTCTACACTGTACGTATGTCTCAGCAGGCTTGTGTTCGTTTGGTGGTTGGCTCCTATGTCTGTGGATGCATCAATTCCATGATTCAAACATGTTTCACCTTCAGTTTGCATTTCTGTGGTGAAAACAGACTGGATCACTTTTTCTGTGATGTCCCGGCCCTGATCAAGATCTCATGTGTTGACACTTTTGTGAATGAGATTGTGCTATTTGTTCTCTCTGTTCTCATTATCATCGCTACCACAACCATCATTCTGGTTTCCTATGCTTACATCCTCTCCACTGTCCTGAAGATCCCCTCAACCCATGGTAGAAGTAAGACCTTCTCCACTTGTACTTCTCACATCACTGTGGTGATTTTATTCTATGGGACTCTGTTCTTCATGTATGCCCAGCCTGGGGCCATCTCCTCACCAGAGAAAAGCAAGATTATAGCTGTGTTCTACACTCTTATCACCCCCATGCTAAATCCTCTGATTTATAGCCTAAGGAACAGAGAGGTGAAAAATGCAGTGAAAAGGATATTGTTGAGAAAAATATCTTTTCATTGACCTCCCACCATCTATTAAAATGTGGAATAAAATAATTGACTAAAAACAATAATTTCAATAATTTGTTAAGAAACTATTTCAACTAAAGGCATCTAAAAGTTTTGGAAATTAGTTTATTTTCTTTTTGTCACCAGGGATCCTTTTAAAAACAAAAAAAATGTAACTAGCTTTTCCTATTCCTGCATAATTATTTTATGATGTGATGTCTAGGTATTCCATAGGTTTTTTTGTTCTTGTTTGGTTTTGCCTAAGTGTATTCAAAGTTGCAACTCATAAATACAGTACTACTAAATTAATACATTAATACACTTGAAATTTATTAATATAATATCTGCATATATAGATCTGCATCTCTACATATCCATCCATCTATCTGGTATGTGTGTGGAGAGAGAGAGAGAAGAAAAGACTTTTGAATGTTCTATGCTCTGTGTTTTATCCAAATCATAATCAAGTTTGCCACTGTCCAGTCTTTGCAAATGAGAAATGAAAGTATTATGGTAATGTAAATCATTGACATGGCCCAAATAACTATACCAGGGAGTGGTACCACATGTTGAATCAATACACTAAAAACAAAACAAAACAAAACCTACTGCCATTGAGTCGATTCCTACTCATAGCCACCCTATAGGGTTTCCAAGGCTGTAAACCTCTCTGAAAGCAGACTGCCACATCTTTCACCCACGGAACCACTGGTGGTTTCGAACTGCCAACCTTTCAGTGAGCAGTTGATCGCTTTTACTACTTCTCCACCAGGGCCCCTTTATTGAATCAATAATATCCTTAAATTATCCAAACATGAATGATTCCATTAAGAAGCAAGAAAAAATAAATGTGATATAGTTGGTGCAAAACTATCTGGTCTTGGCGGTTTAATAATAAATATTTGATAATCTTTCCAGTGTTACTTATGATTATTGGTCTCATCAGTTTATGTATTCATAGGTCATTTTTACAACATATGTATTGATTGAAAATAATGAAATGGATCTCAAAACTCTAATGTATGAGTCAAATCCTTGACAAATTTAATTAAGGAACAAAATAGCATAAACATTCTCATATTTAAAAACTAGGAAGTATACATACCCACAGACAATGAAATAATTAAATTATTACAACAGTATTGTGGGTAACTCCATGACAACGTCCGTTTAAATTTAGAGGAAAATAATGACCTTATTATTTAGCTAACTTTTTTCTGATTTCATATGTTTAATGCTTTGCTACTTTAATTTCAGTTTTTATTTTAATAAGTTATATTTAAATCTATTGCATAATTTTCAATATTATGTTTACCTTTATTGTTTTAGAAATAATTTTTCTGTTCACTTTTAATTTCGTATTTGATGCTTATTTTTATTGTTTTATAAATAATTTTTATGTTAGATTTTTATTTTGTCTTTGATGCAAGGACTATTTAGATAAGGTTTCTTTTTTAAATGTAGTTAATTTATTTAGACAATATCTTAATTGCTGATGTCTAATTTTATTATTTTAATTTCAGAAAATTTTAACTAAAAATCTCTTTGGTACAATCTAGTTATCATGTTTAGTTGAGAAGATAATACATTTTTGTGAATATGCCATAAATTTCAAAAAGGCCTATTCTTTTGCATATTAACAAACTGAATCCTAAACAATGCATTAAACATAGTCAGAGGTAATCACTACGACTAAGTTATGATTATCCCAGTTAGGCATGAATAGTTTAATATTAAAAAAAGCAGAATCACCTTCATCACATTAACTGATAAAAAGATTAAAAATAAACTTTGTATTAAAAGATGTATAAAAATTATTCGATAAATTTTATTTTATGATGAAAATTAACTTAGTAAACTTAGAAAAGAAGTAAATTACATTAACTTGATAAAGTTTATACAAATTAAATGAACAAACATCATTCGAAATGGCAAATTATTATAATCATTTGCTTTAAAATTAGAGAAAATACAAAATGCCAATTATCACCAATGCAGTCAACATTCTATTAGAAGTCTAGCCAATGCAATATGATAATAGATAGAAATTCAAAGTATAAGGAATCAAAAGGGGGGCGTGGTCATTTACAAAGAAAATCTGAAAAGTGTTTTAGAAGACGTGTGGATTAATGTATACAAATCAGTTTCATGTTTATGCACCACAGTAAACAACTATAATATTTAATGAGAAAGATGACACCATTTACATGTGTATCAGAGATTTGCAAGGACTTAGGAATAATTTTACAAAGATGTATAACACCTCTATGTAGAGAATTATAAAATTCTTTAGATCATGCAATAGGGAAATACTGTTAACAAATACAAAGAGCACCTACTATCTAAGAAAAGATACGCATATGTAAATATAATAAAATTAATTTTTTTCCATTATTAGGTGCTTTATGGAAAATAAGATGACAAGGTAAAAGCTGGGAGAATATGTTCACAATACATACAACCAGCAAGAAAATACAATGAACTTCTGTAAAATCTATGAAAAAGGCAAACCAAGCGATATGAAATAGGTAAAAGATATTAACACAGAAGAACATACAATATGGTCAATAAAACATATCAGGATATTTTACATTAACAGTGATGAGAGAAATGCAAATCAAGACCATAATAAAATTCCATTTTATACCCATTCAATGTTGGAGAGGAAATGGTCTGTCTACAGCATGCATTCTAAATGGGGGCAATAATATCCTGAAGGGGGAAAATTTATTTCTTGGAGGGAGCAAAGAAAATCTTATTCTTTTTATGTATCATATTTTTATGTATATATACATATACTTAAAGATATGTACAGTATGTTTGTGGTATTAAAATTTCATGATGGTTATTAGAAAAAAAAATCTAAAAAAGGCTCTTAAAAAAAAACCCAAACCCATTGCCATCGAGTCGATTCCAACTCTTAGAGATCCTATAGGACAGAGTAGAACTGTTCCATAGGGTTTCCAAGAATCGGCTGGTAGATCCAAACTGCCGACCTTTAGTTAACGGCTGTAGCTCTTAACCACTATGCCACCAGGGCTCCAGAAATAAGGCTCTTGGGGGTGATAATGAAAAAAAATAAAGTTGAAATTACAGATGGTCTACAGGTTTTATTTTATATTACAGGTTATACTGTAAATGAGTGAAAATAATTCAGGAAAAGAGTTTAGCATTATCTCCTATAGTTGAATATCTTTGTATCTTATGACCCAGCAATTTCACTCCTGAATGTATACCCAAGAGAATATCTTGCATGTGCAATAAAAGTTATGTATAAGAATATTCATAACAGCATAGTTAACAAAATAAATATTCTGTAAGCAAATGAAATTTCATCATTAGGATTGTTGATAGAAGAAAATTGTGCATTCACACAACAGAATATTATGCAACAAATAAATTACAAATACCCCCACAATAAAAGTGAATCTAAGTAATAATATCTTAAAGGAAAAAAAATTAAGTTCCAGAAGATTAAAAACCAAAACCAAACCATTTGCCATCAAGTCAGTTCCACCTCATGGTATGGTCACCCCAGGTGTTACAGAGTAGAACTGAACTCCACTGGGTTTTCAATGGCTGTGATCTTTCTGAAGTAGATCTTCAGACCTTTCTTCTGAGGCACCTCTGGGTGAATTTGAATGGTCATCCTTTTGGTTAGTAGCTGAGCACTTAACTGTTTGTGCCACCCAGAGACTCCTTCAGGAAGATTACATACAGAATTTTTTAAAACTAATTTCTGTACTTATGATTTTATTAGTTATTCCTTAATGTTCTTTTTCTATTTCAGGATCTCATCCAGGGTACCACATTACATTTTATTGTCATGCCTCCTTAGCCTCCTCTGAACTGTGATAGTTCCTAGACTTTCCTTGATTTTTATGACATTGACAGTTTTGAGGAGTAGTGGTCAGATGCTTCGTGGAACGCCTCTCAAGTGGGATTTGTCTGATGTTTTTCTCATGGTTAGATTGAGTTTATGGTTTTTGGTTTTTTTTTTTTTTTAGTAAGATCACATAGGTGAGGTGCCATTCTTAGCCATTCTTAGCACATCATATCAAGGGTAAATGCTATCAACATGGCTTATCCCTGATGATGTTAAACTTGATAACCTGACTGAGGTATTTGCCAGATTTCTTTACTTCTCCACTTTCCAAACTGTATTCTTTGGAAACTAGTTCATAAAGCATAGCTCACTCTTAAGGGGTGGAGAGTTGATGTCCACCTCCTTGAGCAGGGAGTATATATATAAATTATTCAGAATTCTGTGTGTGATGCCCTTTTAATAAAATAAAACCCACTAAGACAAAAAATAATTAGGAAAACATAAGTATACAATCAATATATATTAAACGTTAGCAACACAATGATTAGCAAGAGAAATAGAATACATTGCTTTGAGAGACTTCAGGTGAATGGAATGAGAGGGGACCATGGCGTTAGATATCAGTTATAGTTGATGTCCATATGTGGTCCAAAGATGATAGTGTAATAGAGTCTGTGCCTATCTAAGAAGAATAAAATAATGTGTATTTGGTTAAATTCACAATATTAGCTACAGTGTTATCTCACATTCTGAACTGTTTTTATTTTTTATATACATCAACTTGAAAAAAATTTTTTGTAAGAATTTTGCAAGACCAACGACTTATTCATCAGAAATACATGTTTTCAACAACATAAACAATGACTATACATGTGGACATGGCTAGATGGAATCTATAGGAATCAAATTGACTACATCAGTGGAAAGAGACAGTGGAGAAGCTCGATACCATCAGTCAGAACAAGACCAGAGGCTGACTGCGGAATGGACCATCAATTGCTCATACACAAGTTCAAGCAGCAGTCAAGAAATCAAACGACGTATTGCATTGGGCAAACCTGCTGTAAAAGACCTCTTTAAAGTGTTAAAATGCAAAGATACCACTCTGAGGACTAAGGTGCCCCTGACCCAAGCCATGGTATTTTCGATCACCTTGTATGCATGGAAAAGCTGGATAATGATTAAGGACGATTAAAGAAGAATTGACGCCTTTGAATTACAGTGTTGGCAAAGAATACTGAATAGAGGCAGTCCCTGGGTTATAAACGTGATCCTTTCCTAAGTCTGTCTTTAAGTTGAATTTGTAGGTAAATTAGAACAG